CCCTGCCTCCCCCATCGCCCCGGGGGCATTCACGGCGGAAATGTAGTGCACTAGGGCAGATGTCGCATTCCATGGTTTTACCATTCGCATGTTTCGGGTTGCCCCGGCGTCACTTACCCTCTCGTGAGGTGCGTCCACGGCCCGTGCCTGCCCCCAGGAACAATTCTTCATATTGTGGTCCAGTAAGGAATGCCAGGAATGCCAACATACCTCTGCCATGCAATCGCCGTCGTTTGCCCTTGCCCTTGCCTCGACCCTTGCCCTTCGCCCTAAGTGCCAGTCGAGCAGTGCGTCGTACCTTGCGAGATGGCTTCTGCATGAAGCGTATATGTGCGCATGCGTTTCTGATATCCTAGAAATAGCCATTGAGCTGGTTGCTCTTCTGTAAATACGTAGGCATGTCGGAATAGTCTAGGGCAGCCGCTTCATCATCCGATGACGTGTCGGCTTCGGTTCCAGAGCCAAAGTCAGACTCGGCGGGCTGCACCGCTGAGCCTACAAGGGTAGTGGCTTGCGCAGGGGCCGCCGTTGCCGACAGTCCCTGATATCTGGCCCAGGAATCTTGCGACCTCGTAGGCGGACCACCACTTTGGGCTAGTAGAGTGGTGGTCTCTGTAGGTTGTGGATCTTCGTTCCAGACATTTGTAGCAGGTCGCCCTGCATGAGTATCAGTATGACAGGCTTCGGCGTGGTGACGCGGCTAAAGATACCACGAATATTGCCAGGGGTTCGCTCAGCAATGTGGGCATATGACCTCATGCGCTCAAGTAGAACATCCAGTTGTTGTTGATTCCTCTGCATTCGGTGGTTGAATGGCTGTAGGATTTGTTGTGCACGCGACGTTCCCACTCCTACGGCCCTGCACATAATAGCTGTTAGGATTTGGAAGTTGGGGATGTTAAAGCCTGCCGTGTCAGCCTCGTGGCGGGTTATCTCGAAACGTGCTAATGTCTGGTCGGTCCGTTCTCCCGCATGGGCGCGAAAGTCGATGAGAGCCGTTCCGGAGTTAAGTTGGCGTCCCTCCTCTAAGTTCTCACGCCAAGCTTAATGACTGCAGGGGGGGGGCTCTCATGGCCATGGCCCGCGCGAGGCCTCCCAGACCACGCTGCAGTGCTGCATTCTGTTGGGAGGGCGACATAGTGCCTGCGGTCACGTTGATCCAGGCATGTGCCTCTCGAGCGAATTCGCGGAAAGGTACTTGACCGGATGGGGGCCGTTTGTTCTTGTGTCGTCTCCGCCACGCATGTGCCCCATAACGCGCTCGATAGCGACTTATGGAAGGCCAAATCTAGCAATGCCAATCCAATGGCCCCGTAGGTCGTGGTCGGATAGTAGTGGCTGGGGTTTGTGGTGTTTTGTTGTAAGCCTGCGCGGGAATAGGCGGCGCAGTATCGTATCGCATGTTGCCATGCATGGTGCCATTCAAAAAAAACTGTCCAATTGGAGTGGGCTGCGGGGATTTCAAGAGTGTAGTAGCGCAGGGATGCAGGAATCTGGTTAAAAGCCTCCGCGAAAGCAGAGGTAACGCTGCAAACGTCTTTGCGGTTATGCGTAGTCATGTGCATTCCTCCGCGCAGACCCACCGCACCTTGATGCTCCCCCATGTCAGTAGTCCACCAGATACTGCTGCGGGTGGCGAGGAGTAGAGCAATTACTGGCCACCATAGTCCAGCTCCGCTACCAAGTTTTAAAAGGGTTGTGAGGCCCAACCAGCAGCTTCGCCTAAGGCGAAGCCCATATCAATCTCTGTTGTACCGTCGTAGCGATAATCCCAAAAGTAGGACGTCGTCGCTGGAGCGACGGGCCATCTCAAGCGAAGATGTTTTCGGTCTCGGTGGCAAGTAGTGTGCCTCGCGATGAGGCGCAGTCATATGTTGGTGGCCGGCCGCTTGAACACATTCGGCCGCGGACAAACGCTCGCTATCTCTCGCCCTTGGCCGAGCTCACTTTAGAGTCAAACGGCCGCGGACAACCGCTCGCTATCTTTCGCCTTTGTCCCAGCCTCCTTTAGAATCATGATGGCCTCCACGACGACCCAAGAGCGTCCAAGATGCCTCCAAATGTCTCAGAAACTTCCGAGGCGGCCCAAGATGGCTTCAAGATGACGGCAGACGGCTCAAACGGCCCCCAAGAGGTCTCCAAGACGGCCCCAAAGACCTCCAAAAGGTCCTGCAGGAAGGCCACAAGAGGCCAACATCATTGATGTCCCTTAGGTGTTCGAAGAATTCGGGCAGTTGCTTCTTTGCGGCATTCCGACGGCCCGACACGGTCCAAGAGCCCCCAAAATCGCCCCAAGAGGCCTCCGAGACGGCCCCAGAACGGCCCAAGAGGCCCCCAAGACGGCTCCAAGGAGCCCCAAGACGGCCCAAGAGGCCTCAAAGACACCCAAGAGGGCCTCCAAGACCGCCCTGGAGAACCCCAAGAGGGCCCTAAATCGGCCCAGAGAGGCCCCTCAAGACGGCTTCCGACGGCGTCGGACGGGCCAGGAAACCACCACGACAGTCGAAGATGGCCCAGGACGGCCCAAGAGGCCCCCAAGCGGCCTCCAAGAGGTCTCCGAGAGGCCTCTAAGGGGACCTCCAGGAAGGCCCGAAGAGGCCATAATCATTGATGCGCCTGGGGTGCCTGAAAGAGTTTAGCAGTTGTGTTTGTTCGGCCTTCCGACGGCCCGAGATGGCCAAAGAGCACCCAAAGATCGCCCCCAAGATCGCCGAAGAGGCCTCCAAGATGGCCCCAGACTGGCCCAAGAGGCCCCCAAGACGGCCACAAGGAGGCACCAAGACGGCCCAAGAGGCCTCCAAGACGCCTAAGAGGGCCTCCAAGACCGCTCTGGAGCATCCAAAGAGTGCCCCAAATCGGCCCAGAGAGGCCACCCGAAACGGCCTCCGACGGAGTCGGACGGGCCAGGAAACCACCAAGACGACCCAAGATTTCTTCAAGAGTGCCCAAGACGGCCCAAGAGGCCCCGAACAGGTCTCCGAGACGGCCCAAGAAGCCTCCAAGAGGGGCTCGAGGAAGGCCCAAAGAGCCCCAAATCATTGATGTTCCTTAGGTGTCTCAAAGATATAGTATTTGCTTCTTGTTCGGGCTTCCGCATTTCTGACGGCCCAAGAGCCCCCAAAGATCGTCCCAAGGTCGCCCAAGAGGCCTCCAAGATGGCCCCAGAACGGCACAAGAGGCCCCCAAGACGACTTCAAGGAGCCCCAAGACGGCCCAAGAGAACCCCAAGAGGGCCCCAAATCGGCCCAGAGAGGCCCCCAAGACGGCTTCCGACGGCGTCGGACGGGCCAGGAATGCCCTAAGATGGCCAAAGAGGCCTCCGAGACGCCCCCAAAGGCCCTCAAGAGCCCAACGGAGGCTCCAAAGATGCCCTCCTCCTCTACCTCCTCCTCCTCATCCTCCTCCTTCTCCTGCTGATCTTCCCCGCCATCCTCCACCAAATGTTGCCCGAACGGTTTCCACAACGGCTGGGGGAACACGTGGCCCGATTGCTTGGCAGAGCTCTTGCCACAACGCTCGGCCACATGGGCGATTCCAAAAGGCAGGGGGCGGCGGTGATTCGCCGTAGGCGTCTTCGATTCTGGAACATCGTGAGCACTGCGCGCGAACGCGCGCGCTCAAGAACTCATAGACACGGGGCCTAGCGCATAGCGCGCCGGAGGGGGCCGTGTCCAGAGAACGGCGTCCCTTCTTTGGGAAGCCCACGCGTCGGCGGCAGAAATCTCACTGAGACTCGGCGTCTGAGCTACCTCGGATGAGCGTACGTCTGGATTTGGAACGCGCTCTGCGTATAGAGGGTATTCCAAGATTTACCCCTCTGCCGAGTTAAGGACAAGGGACGGGCAGGATGGTGCATATGTGTGCGGGGACAGAGCGGGGGGAGGGAGGGAGGAGCAGAGCGGGAGAATAAAGCAAAGAGGGATAATGAATACGAAGAGGAGAACAAGGGCCAGTCGGAAGTACGAGGAGTAATGCACGAGGAAGAGGGAGTGAGGAGGGAGGATCAGGAAGAGGACGATGACGATGAGGAGGACGATGAAGAAGAGAAGGAGGACTACGGGGAGCAGCGCCAGCCCTTTCAGGCGTGAGTGGTCTAGGGCGTTACCTCTTCCCACTCCCCCGTGGGTCTTGACGGGATACCCCGCGACCGATTGGAGCAACCAACGCGGACCAAGAGGGTCTCAGAGAGCAAAACACGGCCTTCAAGATAGCCCAAGATAACACAACATCGCTGAAGATGGCTTTCAACGTGCTCCAAGGTCACAAGACCACTCGAAGACGGGTCCAAATGGCCCAGGAGCGTCTCAAAAACGCCCCCAAGGGGCTAACACACATCCTTCCCCAACCTACGGAAATCATGTGTTTTGACTTCTCGCCTTGTCGTTCTCGCTTGGAATTGGAAGCCTCAAGGTGGTTCTAACAGGGCCCAGAAGAAGGGCTCCAATACGGTCCCAAGAGCGCCCAAGACGCTAAGAGGCAATTTCAGTGGATCCAAAGTGGCAGTGCTAATTTAGGCACTGTATTATCTGATCGATGCTCTTCAAGATGGTCCCAAGAAGGCCTCCGAGGCTCCCGAGATGGCCCCAAGAATGCTTCAAGCGAGCCCCGAACGCTCCCAAATGGCAGCCAGAGGGCTCAAGACCACCCAAGACCCTCCAAGATGCCCCCAAAGAGCCAGCGATAGCCTCAAGGAGCTCCACGATGTCTCTAACACATGTCCTCAAGAGACACCCCAACAGACTCAAGGAAAAGCTCAAGGGGCCTCTGGCCCACACAGGCCCCGCTATCTTCAAATCATGCCATGCTCCCCCGTTCAAGGCAGCTCTTCTGGGCATCGTGTCTGGATGGGCTGGCGGGGACACGCGAAGCGTAAGACTGTCCTTGGAAGCCTCTTGGACGCCTCGAGTGTGTACTGTTCCCAACTACCGCCTTTCTGACTCTCGTCCTTATCTGGGGGCCTCCTGGAGGCGTCTGTGGGGCCTCTTGGGGACGCCGTGCGGGCCTGCGGGACGCGTCCTGGGAGGCTCCCAGAAGTTGTTTGTTTCTTTGTGTCCTGTCGACGCTGACTCAGCACATAGCTGGTCAGCGACCGGTGGCATGCAGCTGGCAGAACATTGCACGACGTAAAGAATATTCGGTCGACGAAGTGGGGGGGGAGCCTCACTCAGCGACTTTCACCAACGGGTGTAGCTTTGCCTCCCGCCTGGCGAACCTCGACTGCAACCCCCCAAAAAATAGTCGGAGCGTAAATCGAGACAACTCTGGCACGCCTGGTAAAGCTTCGGGTTGCGCAAAGACAGCCCCAACAGGTAAGTAATCCCAGCTGGCCTCAGCAGGCCCCGCGATTAGTTCCAATTGGCCTCAACAGACCCTCCGAGTCGTCCAGGGCGATCTCAACACCCGCTCAACGCCCCAGGGGCACCGCCGCCGCCGGCTCCAGGGATTTGAGACCACCTTGGACCACGGGGGGGCCTGTTGAGGCCAGCTGGGACTACTCGGGGGGGCCTGTTGAGGCCAGCCAGGACTATGTGGGGTGGGGCTGTCTGAGCGCAACCCGAAGCCTTACCAGGCACGCCCCTCCGCCCCCTCCCCTACCCGCCTAACACCAGCAGAAGCAAAAGTAAGTGGACAGAGGCACCGCCGCCCGCGAGGCGCGTGGCATCCCCGCGTCAGGCCTCTTCGGCAGAGCCGCGCGGGCGGGCTTCTCACTCTGGCTCCACGCCCTTGCAGCCTTCTTGCAGCAATAGCCGATCTTCTGCGGGGACCACGACAGCTCGAGGCAATGCATGCAGTGGTGGTACCCCGCGTCGCAGTCGTACACGCTGTTGTCTGGCTCGGCGGGCGCGTCCGATGGCGGCAGACCGGAGGGCGGGGGCAGCTCCGATGGGCAGCCCTTGTTGGCGGTCTTGCAGCAATACATTTTCTTCTCGCCAGACCAGCCGCGCACCCACTGCAGCGAGTCGAGGTCGTTGTAGCCAGCACTACAGTCAATCGGGCACGGGGACGTGGTGCTCATCGCCATTGTCTTCACTGGCGCGACGGGCACGACTGGCGCCGGCATGGTGCTGGGCGCGGCCGGCGTCGTCGGGCACCCCTTGCCCTCGAGCAGGCAGCAGTGTACCTTCTTGGGTACATCCCATGACACGGCGTCGCCCTCGCCGCAGTTGATCTGCTTTCGCGTGGTCGGCGACTCGGTCGGCTTAGGTGGGAGTGGTGGCGGGGGCGGCGGCGGCGGCGGGGGCGGTGCAACCGTCGTAACCTTTGTGGCGGTGGTCTTCTCGGTGGTGGTGTCAGGTGGCGGGGTGGTTGTGATGATCACCGGGGCGGTAGTCGTCATCGTCGTCGTCGTGGTGGTGGTCGTCGTCGATCCTGGTGCCATTGCGAAGAGCAGCAAAGGTAACAAAAGGAGCGACAGTCCCAGGGGGACGAGACAAATCAGGCAGCAGTTCGGACCGCGCCCAGGGATACGGACCGCCCCGAACTCGCCCGCCCGCGCCCACGTACTTGTAGCTGGCCTCCTGGACGTAGTCGCCCCCCCTGCCCACGTAGCTCAGGATCGTGCCGCCGCCGCCGCCGCCGCAGCCAGTGCCCTCGTCGCAACCCGCGCCGCAACAAGGGCCCCCGGCGCCGGCGCCGTACGCCCCGCCCGTGCCGTACGCTCCGCCAGCGCCGTGCGCCCCGCCCGTGCCGAGCGCGCCGCCAGCGCCGTGCGCCCCCGCCCGTGCCGAGCGCGCCGCCAGCGCCGTGTCCTCCGAAGCCAGCGCCGTGTCCCGCGCCCCCGCCGTACGCGGCACGGGCGCCGTGCGCGCCGGCGGCGGCGCCATTCGCGGCGCCCGCGCCGGGGCCTCCGTGACCCGCGCCGTATCCTGCGCCGCCCGCGCCGAAGCCCGCCGTGGGGCCTCGGCCGTATCCCCCGAGGGACGACATCATGGCGGTGCTTCGCCGAGCTGTAGCTGGTGCAGACGAGGTCCCCACAGGGAGCCTGCGCGACGAGTGCCCTGAACCAAAATAGCTGCGGGAGTCTTGCCAGCCGCTTTTTGGGGCTGTCTTAGGGAATCTTGGGTGTGCCTGTGGGCCGCACGCCGCACTGGAGGGTGTTTTTTGTGCCTTCTGGACGGTCGACTGGCCGCCTTGGATGTATGTCTCTTGGGGCCCTTTCGGGATTGTCTTAGGGGCGTCCTTGGCCGATTTGGGGATATCTTGAGCCCGTCTTGGGGTCCTCTTGGCCCGCTTTGAAGCCCATCTCGACCCCCCAGGGCACTTTCAGGGCGTCTCAGGTTCTCTTGAGCCTTGTCGGGGCCCTCCCGCGCTGTCTTGGGCCCCCCTTGGGCCGTCTTGGGCTCCTCCGTAGGCATTGGCCCTCGTGGAGCTATCGTGGGGCCTCTTGGAGCTATCGTGAGGGCCTGTTGGGCCACCTGGGCAGGCCATCTGGGAACATTCTGTCAACAAGTAGGAACTCCAGAAAGTCATGGAGAACCTTATGATTTCCGTCGGTTTTCGACTGTTTTGAACCTCTTGGAGGTCCTCTGTGGGCACTCCAAGGGCCTCTTGGCGCTCCTTTGGGGCGCTGGGGGCCCCCTGGAGGAGCCTGGGGGTCCCTTGGCACCGTCTTGGGGCCTTCTTGGAACCTCTGTAGAACTCCGGGGGCCTTCTTGAGGATCCCGGAGGAGGCTCCAGGGATGCCCCGGGAGGGCAGGCGCCACTTAGGGAAGGCTGGGTGCACCTTTCTGTGGCAACTCACGGGAGCCTCCCATGTCATCTTGCTGGCTCCTGCGAGGCGACGTTGACCGAATCTTATCAACGCTGGTCGTCGCCAATCGACGTTGAATCGATACGAATCGGCGCTTCATCGGCGCTCTCTCATCGATTACCAAACGCTAGCGCACTCTACGCACAGAATTTCGAGGACATACGAGGCTCCCATGAGTTGCTACCGAATGCCCCTGGTGGTCTACGACCCCAGGGCCCAGGGGGGCTGGGTGTTTCTGGCAAGTGAGAAAACTTGCAGGATCATTCAGCTTCAAATCGGAAGATTATATCGAATCGAAGTATGCGTCGCGTCGGGTCGCATCGGCACGGAATCAGCATCGCATCGAATCGGCTGCGGCAAGATGCTCAGCAACGACATGCAAACGTCGGCCGCATCGGATCGTCGAAACACTGGAATCCTATGGGATCGGGCTGGCCGATATCTGTAACCTGTAACCGAATCGGATGAACCAGATCGAAACGGACACTCTTCGTATGCCGGAGGCCCCTCGAAGCGAGGAGCCATTGCCCACCCCTGGTGCCAATACGCTCCGGGTCGTGCGCCGAGCAGTCCTGGCCAACGCCCCAACTCAACGCCCCAGCTCAACCATTATTTTTGGAGTCAACGTCGGGAACCGTGTCTTGAGCGCGCTCCCCGTGCCCGCCTGCTTCCAGCGGCGCGGCTTGGAGATCGTCCGAGCCTCCAAGCATAAGCCCGGGACCTGTTTGGTTTCCTGAAATCACAGGAAGCTACCTGCGGACGATGGCATGCTCTGAATCCTAGGGCCTAGGGCCTACCAGACGTGTGCGGCAGGCGAACCCACGAGGCGGGTGGTGCTCAAAAAAGGGGAGAGCATGTGCCACTCCGCCTCAGCTGAGGCATCTTTGCGCTGGTATTTCCCGCGTCGTGGGCCACGCGAAGATCGCTGAAGTCGAGCGCGCCATAGTTCTCCAAACAGTGCGGCTCCTTCAGTTGCTCGCGGTGGTAATCCACGCCCAGCACGCGCTGCGCTCTTTCGCTCCGGTGGCAACGACGTGCCGCACCGATCTCCAACCGGCAATGCGAGCGTGCTCACGGAGCCGCCGCCTGGGAATGCGAGGGCTTCAGCTCCGCGGCCAGATGCTCTCGAGCAGCGTGGGCGAGATCCACACCGGCTGCCCCGACTCCCTGCAAGGGCCTGGCGAGGGCGGGGCATGCTTGCAGGTCGGCTCCACCTTGCGAACTGGCGCCTCGTAATGCAAGACTGCTCCGGGCAGCGTCGAGGGCGCACCCTCGTCTGGGGGCGCTGCTGGCCGCCCCACCACAACGAAGTTGTTCTTGGCGCCCTGCCGCCTGATCTCACAGACGCTGCGCAGCCGCGCGTCCTGAAGCAGGTCCTGCACTCTCAAGTGCCCCAGCGCGGTCTCGCTGAGCTCAAGGCCCAATCTCGAGCGGAACAGCCGCTTCACGTTGGGTATTGGGATCCCACTGGCCCCCTTGTCCGAGGAGTCTGCCAGCAGCTCCTGCAGGCCTTGGGTGAGCTGCGCCCACGTCGCGACCACCAGCCCTGAAGACACCAGCTTCCCGCCGTTGACGGGCAACGCCATCCCAGCGCAGAAGGTCTTGCGCCCGTTCTCCGAGCGTCTGTACGGGACGATGTGGCCCCTGGAGTGGCCCAAAACCTTCTTTTGGGACACTGCGAGCGCGAGCACGTGACACACCTCTCCGAGACATAGGTCCTGCAAACAAGGCAAATTGCGCGCCTTGAGTGCTCGGGCGCTGTTGTACCTGCTGCCGGGCAGAGGTGGGTGGCTGTCTGCGGGCCCATCGAAGTAGGCGCGAAGGTCGACCCACAGGTCCTGGGGGTAGGGGTCGTCGGTGCTATCAATATCGACAAAAGCAGGCGGCCAACCCACGAGCACGGCCGCGTACTCGCCGTAGTCAAGATCCTCAACGCGTAGCTGCGGGCACTGCCTGCAAATGCGCAACAGGTGTTTGGAATCTATACGGGGGATGAAGCCCTCGGCGGTGGAGACACAATGCGCGCCGTTCGCGGTGATGTCGGCCGCAAGCTCGCCCACACGCTTGATGAGGATACGACCAAACGGTTTAAGCCTGTTTTTGTATAGGCTCGCAACAGCGGCGACCACGTGAGCTGGCGCAGGTCGGAAATGGGCAGCGGCTTGGATGTCGTCGCTTTGGCTGTGCACCATGGCAATGCGCCGATGGGAAGATGCGAGCTGCGCCAGAAAAAGAAGGGCTGGACTGAGAGGCTGCAGCGCCGCTCCGTCGCCGAGCTGCAATCGTGCCCAACGCGGAGCGGCGCCGGGAGAGAAGCGGCCGTTACCTGATTGCTTGAACCAGTGGCCTGAACCAGAATTGATATGGAGCGTTTGCTTTGAGTCAGGAAAGCAAGCTTCCCAACCTATCGACCAAAAAACGACAGGGCATTACGCACGAGCTCACGTCTGCCGTACACGATGGCTTACGCAGGCCGCAACAATGGCATGCCATATGTAACATAATAGACTTACGCGCGACCTTGCACGGGCGACTTGCGAGTGAATGTCTGCTCGGTCGACTTCCATTTTTCCTGGCCTATCGATTACGTTTCGGGATATTCCTATACAGGCCCCCTTGGTGCACAGGATCTGTAGTTGAGGCGCGGGACCGGGTCCCAGCCAAAGCCTTTCACGCACCAAGCTGGCACCAGCCCTGGCCAGAAGACCGGGGAAAGCGCATATTGGGACTCTTTTTCCTCCAACGCAGCTCGAACAAAAGGGCCTGCGGGCATGCCACGAAATCATGGCGCCCGAATCACTCAAGATCCCGAGCACGCCGCCTGGCCGAGCAGGGGCGGGCGGGGAGCCCGCTCCTCCTCGGACGCCCCTCGGGTCACCACTCCCTCCAGGGTCCTAGAAAGTGAAACTTAAAACCCGCAGTGCCTCGACGCGTAGTCGCGGAGGTCTAGACTCGCGCCCATGGCGCGTCTAAGCACCACACAGCTGAAAACCCTACTCGGACCACGCCCTTCGTTCTCTCGGTCCCAAAGGCTGGAAACGGGGGCTGGTCGCCCACCAAATATTTTTGACCTGGCTCCGGGTGACAACCGTCCTTCTGCGGTTGCCCTTCCTAATATTGATCTTCGCCGCTGGCTCACTCGACCCCTCGATCGGAGCGCGACGTGGCCTCCCGCCGTCGCCGCCGCGCGGCAGGGCACCCGTGCGGCACCAGCTAGGCCTCGCGCGCGGACGGAACCAGCAACTCAAGGAAAACCCTAGCAAAGCAAGCAGGAGCCCTAGGCTCACGCCCGCCATCAGCACAGTCAGGCTGACGTAGTGGCCCTCAGCCGCGACTCCCAGCGCGGCCACTGGAGTCAGCGCGCTCTCGCCCATCTCCCGCGGCACCTCGCGCAGCTCGGTCGAGCTCCCCTGCGCCGCTGTGGAGAGCGACGCGGCCACTGCAAGCAACGCCTTCAGCATGTTCGAATGGGCCTGGAAGTCGGTCGGCATGGCCCCGACTCCAGCTACCCTCGACCTCCTTCAACCCGCAGCTCTCGCGGAGCCACTCGGGGCGTGTCCTCGGCATCACCTTAGTGCCGAGATCCGCCGGGATGTCGCCCCCAGCCGCAGGCTCGATGGTGATGACCTCTTGGCCGCCAACTGCTGAATCCAAAGCGTCTCGGTGGCAAGGTGCTTGATCCGCCCAGTGCCCTGGCGCCTCGCCAGCGCTCTCGGACTCGAACTGTCGCATCGCCAACTCACGCGCGCGCTGTAGCCCATGGGCGCGAAGAGCGCCTTCAGCCCAAGTCCCTCGCTGAGACCTCGAGCTCCAGCGTGCCGCTGGGCTTCGCAGCTGCTACGGGGCTGCGCGTCTTGACGAGAGCTGATCCCGAGCATTGGACACCCGCGCGCGGTGATGTGCACTCTGGTCTGGCTCTTCCGCTCCTTCGCGTCGCCTGCCCAGTCGGAGTCTGTTCGAGCGACCAGGTCGACGATGTCCCGCGGCGTGGTAGGCTTGGCCTTCCTGGCGCCCAGGTCCCTCGTGCCCTTCAGGTACCTTGCCAGCCTCTTGGGGGGCTCGCATGTCCGCCTCACGGGGCGATGAGATGCGCGAGGTCAGGCAGTTGATGTCGAACTGAGCATCTTCTCGGTCACGCAGGTAGAACAGCAGGCACATGGTCACGCTCCTGAACAGCTCAGCCTCGTCTGGGCTGAGGTCGGGCGTGTCATCACTGCCCGTCCTGCGCGCCTCCACCCCCGGGGTGGCGCGCGGGTTGCCCTCCTCGAGGCCTAGCGCCGCCAGAGCCTTCGTGAAGTACTTCCCGTTGGGCTGAATGTAGGTAGCGTCGGCCTCTCGCACGCGCCGCCTTTTGAGAAACTCGCAGTCGGCGCGTCGCCCTGTCGGCCTGACCGCGCCACCTTGATGTCGCGGCCCAGGCCCAGCGCGAAGACGGACCCTGCGACCCCAGGCGATGCGCCGTACATGTCGCCCATGTGCAGCTCCACCAGACATGGGGGGTCGGCGCGCCAGAAGAACTGGGGCGCGGTCGGCGACCGCTCGAAGCCGCTGGCCATGAGCTGCTCCGCGGCGAACTCGACCCTGCGCTTCCCTCCGGCACGCCGTCCTGGCAACTGCTTCGCGAGCTGCGAAACGTAGTCCTCAGTGTCGCCCCTCGCGCGGCACTCTTCCAGGATCCCAGGTGGGCACTCGACCCGCGCGCCCCCCCCTCGGGGACATGGTAACACGCGCCCTCCGCGTCAACAGTGAAGGTGGGCCACCCGTGCCTCAGAGCCACATAGTCCACCACTCGGCTGTCGGCCATGCTGCTCCCTGGCGTGAAGAGGTCGTCGCGGTACTCCTGCCGCTTGAACTCTCGCGCGAGGTACCTTGACTTGGCGATCCTGCATCCGAGGTTCGCGCCCCGCTTGTAGACATGGTCCCAGCGGGCGCTGATCCTCTTGCCAGCGCCCTCGCTCCGTTTGACGAGCTTGCCCACCCCGTGCTGCTTCAGGCCGTCGAGGGCCCGTTTGGTGGAAGCCTCGATCAACTGCGAGTCCGACGCATCGTGGGGATCAGGGACATCCATGTCCCTAAGGATCTGCAGGAAGTCAGGCCGAACGTCATCGCAGTGCTCAGCCGCTGCTCCGCTCACTCGGGACCTCGCAAGTGTGCCTCGGTTGTCACCCTCCTCCGCGGGTCAGCGGAGGTGCACTCGCTGGCGCTGCGGCCCTCGGCGTCATGGGCGCGTCGTCCCCAGCGCCGCCGCCAGCCGACGGCTGCGTCGCTGGCTCCGCCTGCCTGTCCTCGGCAGGCGCCTCGGCGCCGCCCGGCGCGTCGGCCGAGGGCGCCGCCACGGGCGCGCCCGTCTGGGCTGCTGGCCCGCCGCCATGGGCGGCCCCAGTGGACTGGGCAGCAGCGCTCGGGTCTGGCTGTGCCTCAGCTGCCTCTTGCGCCGCCAAGTCGGCGCCCGCGGCGGCAGGGGGCGCAACGATAGGCTCGATCCCGCGCGGGGCCGTGCCCTGCCCTCGGCGCTACCATGATATATGCGTGATCGCCGCCACGGCGGCGCGGTTGAACCTCCGCTCTTCGGGCAGCGTCTTGACGGTTCTCGCCGTGACTAGCTCGCCCGTCTCGAGGGCGCAGATGTGCTCGTCGGTATCGTAGCTCTTCAATAGCCAGACTGCCCTCGCGAAGCCCATGTCACCCTTGCGGTGCACCTTGCCTCTCGCCCTGCGATTCTTGCCCCTGGGCAGGCGCGCCAGGGCGGACCCCCCCGGGGTGGCCATCTCCCTGGTGTAGGCGTGGCCGTAGAGGTCCTCATGTGCCGTGCGACCGCTCGCCTTGATCCTCAGGTTGGTGCGTGCCCAGCCCACGTGGCGCTGCAACCACTTGTGCATGGCCGTGCCTGGTCGGACCCTGGCCCCTTGTCGCGCCTCCAGCGCGCTCCTGCTCGTGCGGAACTGCGCCTGGATGATGCCATTGGCATTCTCGGAGGGGCCCGACTGGGAGCTGATCGTAGGTGCGGGTCTCACGACCACACGGTTGGGCAGCTCCGCCTCGACCGTGCTGGCCAGGTCCATCATGGCGTCCTCGTGGTCCGGCCTGAGGATGACCTTACGATGGAAAAGGGAGCTGTTTTTTTTTCGGGTTGAAAGGGTTTTTGTTCCCGGTTTTCGGCCCCAGCCCCCAAAAAAACCGGCCTCCACCCGGAAACAAAAAACCTCCGCGCGTTTGTTTCGGGTTGGCCGGGTTTTTTTTTTTTTTTTTTTTTTTTTTTTTTTTTTTTTTTTTTTGTTTTTTTTCTTCTTCTTCTGCGGGTTGCGAGGGTACTTTCTCGGGTTGGGTGGCTCGAGTTGGGTATTCGAATCTTCGGCTTTCCGAATGTTCAGGCATTCGGGCTTCCGGCTGCTGGGGCCTTCGGGGTCCAGGGTTTCGGGGTTTTGCTGCGTTCGGCCCTCGGGCATTTTGGTGCGGTTACCTGGACTTCGGGTGTTCGGGTTCGTATTTCGGTGTTCGGGCTCGGATGTGCGGGTCACGTTGTTCGTGTTTGAGTATGGCGATTCGGGGTTGGGGTTTGGGTTTGGGCGTTCCGCTTCGGGCGTTGGGCTGATTCCGTTTCAGTCAGAACAGGGGGGGGGGGGTCGGCTTCAGGTGTCAGGGTCAGCGTTACAGGGTTCGGGTTCGTGTGCCACCTGGTACATGCGTCATGATGCGCACATGCGTCCTACTTTAATCCCCCGCCCGCTCGACCCGCCGCCCGCCCGACCCACGCCTCCATTAGTGTCCGCTTGCTCGACCCGCAGCCCGACCGTGATGGTTCCACGCGTGCCACCTGGTACATGCGTCATACTTGGCATCTGCGCCGTACTTTAATGTCCCACCCGCCCGACCCGCCACCCGCCCGCCCGCGATGGCCCCGCCCGCAGCCTGACCCGCCCGCCCGGCCCGCCCGTTAGGGTCCCGCCTGCCCGACCCGCGTTTCGCCCGTGAGGGTTCCATGCGTGCCACCTGGTACATTCGTCATAATGTGTATACGCGTTGTACTTTAACGCCCCGCCCGCCTGACCCGCCGCTCGCCCGCCGCACGATCCGCCCGCCCGTCAGGGCCCCCGCCTGCGTTGCCCGCCGCCCGCTCGTCAGGCTTCCGCGCGTGCAACTTGGCACATGCGCCATACTGTGTACATGCGTCATACTTTAATGTCCCGCCCGTCCGAGTCCGCCCGCGAGGGCCCCGCCCGCCGCCCGACCCGCTCGGCCGTTAGGGTCTCGCCCGCACGACCCGCCTTTCGCCCGTTAGGGTTCCACGCGTGCCACCTCCTGCATGTGCATAATGTGCACATGCGTCATACTTGAATGCCCCGCCCGCC